TTAGGGGTTTGGGGGTTTAGGGCTCATGAGGAATCTGGAGGGAGTTGGGTCTTGAGCTTAGGGTTCGAGGCTTCATGCTATGGGGAACCCCAGGCCTGCATCTAGATATTCAGAAATGGGGGTTTCCGAAAAATAGGGGATCCTGGTATAGTACCTTAGATAGTAGGAGCCTCATTGTAAGGACCACATAATAAGGTACCCTAATTTTCGGCAACTCCCAAATAGCGATCACACATGCGTGTGGATTCTGTCTTGACAAATGATATATAACAAAAACATGATGAGGTTTGCTCTTGAGATATAGGGTATGCTAAAAACAATGCTTTGGGGTTCGTGATGTAGGGAGTTTCGGGGCAGCAGACGGTTTGGGGGTTTAGGGGCTTTTCAGTTCATGCCTAAGGTTTAGCTTAGAGACATCATCCATGAATCCTGCAAAGGGTTCTTAGAAACAACGCAGCAATCTTATAGAAGCTCCAATCAACTGCAATACCATGTTCTACGCTCCCTTTCATCATTATAGATTCACTCTTCCTTCAGACCTCCATCCCAAAGGGATGCTCTTTCAGTTCACGCGCCTTGGGCTTCAGGGGGGCCAAGATTTAGGGGCTTGGGGTCCAAGATAATACGGGTTTAGGGTTTCAGGGCTTTAGGTTTAGGGCTTTTGGGCTTTTGGGCTGTTGGGCTGGGGAATCACAAACCATGGCACCCCTTGTGGATACCCGGATACCCCCGACTGCAACTCCATTCGCTAAAACTCTGAATCCTAAGAAAAGCGCCAAGCCCTTGCAAGAGTGCTAACTAAACCCCTTTTCGCACCTAAACCCCAAAACTTTAAACCCTAAGCCCTAAAGTCCAAACCCTAGACCGGAAACCCCAAACCCCAAACGCGCAATCGGCCTAAGATCCCAAATCCGAAGCCCCAAAGCCCAAACCTTCCCCCGAAAACCGGAGAGCACATGACCCTGATAGCCCTAAACCCTAAACCCAAGGGTTTAGGGTTTAGGGTTTAGGGTTTAGGGAACCCTAAATCCCCTAAATCTCCAAACACCTACAGCCCTAAACCCTATCCCTCAGACTAGGACTTGACAAAGGCCAAAGCTCTGCCGTGGCTTCCCAACTGTCGGACACGTATTTGCCCTGGCGAAAGACTGCAGAAAAAAAAAAGGCTCAGGGTTTAGGGTCTAAGGGTTTAGGAATTGTGGGGTTTGGGGGTTAGGTTTGGGTTTTCAGTCTTCAGGCTCTAAGGGTTTAGGGGCTGAGAGGTTTAAGGTTTGGACTAGAGTCCTACTGCTTCGGGTCTAGGGCGATCCTATTCCTTCGTACGGTTGCTGAAGAGTCGAGGAGGTCTTTGCAGCATCTGAAGTGTGGCGGGTTTGGGGTTTAGGGTTTAGGGTTTAGGGTTTAGGGTTTAGGGTTTAGAATTTAGGGACTGCCCATCGGCTTTTGGGAAAAGCGTGGGTTTTGGGCTTAGGGTAGCGAGTTCAAGCCTCAGGGCTTAGCCGTTGAGTGCACAGGGCGCTGTCGCGGTCCACAACTACTGTGTGGTTTCAAGTTTGCGCGAAATTTCACAGGAGAACGCTGGAATACATATGTTAAGCTTTAAGACGGTCTCTGAAGGGAACCGTGTCCAATCCTTGCAAAATCCTGCCAGAACCCTCGAAGACCCTCGAAGAAGCCTTACAAAGACCCCGACAGGAACCCTTAGAGACCGGTCATAGAATCCTGAACTGCCAGAGAGCCCTGTAAAGAAATCAACCCACACTCCTCTGAAACAGAAACCTCCATCTGGAAAGTCACCCTAAACCCTAAACCCTAAACCCCTGAACCCTCTCCGAAAAGCCCTTAGAGGCCCAAGCGCTCGACACGAAACCCAACGGATTAGGGGTCCAGGGTTTAAGGGTTCCGGGTTCAAGGGTCTAGTGGTATAGGGGTTAGGGTCCTAAGAAGCCTTAAGCCCAAAATCTTAAATCCGAGAAGTCTGCCTGGAGCCGCTCCTCCAGGTCTTTCACGACGGCCGGCTCCTGCTGTGGCCGGCGAACCACTGCAAAGCGCACAAGGAATCGCAAGTTGGCGACAGAAGGAGGCCGAGCTAATGCTTACATGATTCCGAAAGTTCTTATAGGGTTTAATGTGTAGGAAACCTTAATAAAAGAACCTGAGTTGATGATGATGAATGTAGGCAGATATGCACGCAGAACCACTCCTTCTGTCGGAAAGTCTCGCAGAATCGCCGGCAAAGATCCTCCCAGGACTCGCAGAGGCCGTCGCCTCGCGGGGGTGCTGTTTGTTTGACAACCGGAGAGCGTTCCAAGGGGTTTGTTTAGGGTTTAGGGTTTAGGGTTTAGGGTTTAGGGTTTAGGGGGTTTGTACGGGTTTAGGGGGTTTGTATGGGTTACAGAGAGTTTGATGAGGGCCTTCTCGGTATTTGGGGTTTAAGGGCTAGGGTATAGGATTTGTCAAATTTGTGGGGCCTTAGGGGGCCTATGGGGGCTTGAAGCTTTGGGCCTAGTCTCAGGCCGCGCATTCGAGGTGCGGAAGGGCCGCGGCAGTATACCCTAAACCCTAAACCCTAAACCCGACTATAAGGGTTACTATACCGGTTCTTCAAGGCAGTATACCCTAGGGTTTATAAACCCCAAAGGGTGTGGGGGGGGGGGGCCTCGGGGTTTGATGGGCCAGCTTTCAAGCTCGGCATCTGAGGTGGTGAAAGAAGCAGAACAAGGAAGGGCTGGGGGCTTCTACTCGATACACACACAGAGATACATAGATATATAGAGCATATACATACGTACATATGTGCTTTTCCTGTAAAGTCTATATATATATATATATATAGACTATACCTGTGTTTACATAATATATTCAGACCCCCGCGGAGGGTTTGAGCAGGATCGGGTGAAAGCTCCGAAACGGTTCAGCCCACAAGGCAAAGGGAACCTGGAGCCTGCTCCTAAACTCCTGGTGTAGGGCTTTAGGGTTTAGGGCTTTAGGGTTTGGGGTTTAGGGCTTTAGGGGTTTAAGGTTCGGGGTTTAGGGCTTTAGGGGTTCAGAGTTTGGGGTTTAGGGCTTTAGGGGTTTGGATTGGGGTTTAGGGTTTAGGGTTTAGGGTTTAGGGTTTAGGGCTTTAGGGCTTTAGGGCTTTAGGGCTTTAGGGGCTTCAACCCTAAACCTTGGAAGCCGAAACCCTGAAGCCTCCACCATCCTCATGAGCTGAACCCAAACCCAGACCAAAACCTCCGAAGCCCTGAAAAGCACTAAAGGACGAAAGGGTTTAGGGTTTAGGGTTTAGGGTTTACAGTTTAGGGTTTAGGGTTTAGGGTTTGGGGGAATCGAGCCATACATCCTGAAAGCTACACAGTGTGAAGCAAACCTAGCTTCAAAGGGAATCCCACGTGAGATACATACACCGCCTTGCTTTCCGTAGCTGCGGAAGCGCTGGAGGACAGGCCTGATCCGAGAAAAAACATGGGCAGTTCTCTGAATTAGGGTTTAGGGTTTAAGGTCCTTTTCGTCAGGGTGCCAAAATATTTGGGGGGACCTCAAGGGGGACCCTAATTTAGAGAGAACTACCCACATCGTTCAGGGTCTAGGGCTGCTAAGCCATTGAAGGGCTTCAAAATGTAGGATCTAGGTTGGAAGGACTGAGGCAGGTAGGATTTAGAGTTTATGGTTTTGGGGCTTGATTGTAGAAGTAGAGTCAAGGGGTGAGAACTCTCATAGCCTAAGCCTGACAGCTTCAGGTAAAAACGTCGCAAAACCCTGAACCTCTGCTTGAAAGCCCCCCCCCAAAGCCCCACCAAAAGACCCTTTTCATCCAGAACCCTGATCCAAGACCGTTGAAAGAAGCCAAGATCCCTAAACCCCCTAAACCCTAAACCCTAAACCCTAAACCCTAAGCCCTAAACCCTAAGCCCTAAACCCCAAGCCCTAAGCCCTAAACCCGAAACCCGAAACCTCACCGTCGAAGCTCGCACCTCTGAAAGATCCCCCCCCCCAGAACCGGTCGCCTTGGTCTTGGGGCCTTTAGGGGTTCCTTGCCACGGGTCCCGGGCTCTGTAAGGGGTTCCTTTAAGGGTTCCTTTTAAGGGTTCGTTGAAGGATTCCTTTAAGGGTTCCTTTAAGGGTTCCTTTAAGGGGTTCCTCTAAGGGGTTCCTTTAAGGGTTCCTTTAAGGGTTCTTTGAAGGATTCCTTAAAGTTTGAGCGCTTGAAGGGTTTTGGAGTTTTCGGCGGCTTCAACCTGCCTTGGCACGTAGAACTTCGGAAGGACGCCAGACTTCGCCGCCGAGCTGCAGTCGGGGCTTCCTGCGGCGTACTGAAGCTAAGAGGACACTCCAGACGTTGCTGCTTCTTTTACGGTTTCTAGGTGCTTTAGGGTTTAGTGAAGTCGTGTATTCCCTAAACCCTAAACCCTAAACCCAAAACATCCCTAAACCCTGAGCCCTTCAGAGGTCTGGGGCTTTGGAGGCCCTTAGCTTTCCGGCCTAGAAGCCTTGATCCGGCGTTGCAAAAGGCTCAGCAGAGCTTTAGGGTGAGCGCCCCAAGGCTTAGAGTTTAGGGTTTGGAGATTAGAGTCTTGGGTTTAGGGTTTAGGGTTTAGGGTTTAGGGTTTAGGGTTGAGGGTTTAGGGTTTAGGGTTTAGGGTTTAGGGTTTCGGGTGTAGGGAGGTTAGGGGTTCGTCGTCACCTAGACCCGACACTCACGGGGCGAAACCCGTCGACCCTATAAACCCCTATTTAGGCATCCCAATAAACCCCAATACCCCGTAACACCTTTCAAGACCTTGTAAATTCTTTTGTCCCTCACAAACCATGTAGGAAGCCCTGCAACACTACTTGTGAAGCCCTGGTAAACAGCTCCCAGAAAAGGCGCCACCCGTCCGTAGGCAGCCAGGGCGTCTAACTCTTGCTGCACTAAGTCCGCCACCTGCGGTGCTGGGCTTCAGGGCCAAGTTTAGGGCTTTAGGGTTTTAGGGCTTAGGGTTTTGAAGTGTACTACGACCCGGCAGGGGTCTTGGGTGTTTCTGTTTGGGACTCTTGGGGTTGAGGGTTTAGGATTCGAAGGGCTACCGAAATCCGAGAACACTGGGGTTTAGGGTTTAGGGTTTAGGGTTTAGGGCTTAGGGCTGCGAAGAACCACTCAAACCCGGAGCCTGCGCAAACGCCGAACTCTGCAACGCTTTGGCTCATCTTTTCAATTGGCTCTAGGGTTTAGGGTTGAGGGTAAATTTGGCTCAGGCTGTAGAGTTTAGGGATAGTATTAGTATTCCTTGTCGAAGCCCTTTACCGGAACCCTTGAACAAATGACAAGGCCTGCTTGTCCAGGTCACCCCCGCCGGTCCGCAGGCCCGCCGGCGAGTGCCACTTCTTGCGGAGGTCCTCCGAAGCACGGGCTCGGTTTAGGTTTGAGGACTTATAGTTTCGGGTTTAGGCTTGAGGGTTTATGGTTCTGTGTTTACGTAGGGTTTTGGGTTTTTGGGTTTTGGGTTTAGGGTTTTATGACTGTTGCAGGTGTAGGATACATAACGGCGTCTCCGCATGATTGCTTTGCAAGAGCCCTAAAGTTCATGGTTCTGACGCTTCAGGATGTGGGCTAGCTGTCGCGGGGGTTCTGCAGATTATTACGGTTTAGGATTGGGGTTCTGCAGGGTTTATGGTTAGGGGCAAGCATATGGGTGTAGGGTGAAGGGTTCCGGGAAGGTTCGAAGCAGGATCTGTAGGGTGTCAAGATGGGCTGCGCAATGTTTTTGTATGTCTTGAATTTGCAAGCTCATTTTTCTTGCAACTGCAACTCCTGAATTCAAGACCTGAAATAGCCCAAACCGAAACCCTAACCCGGAAACGATAAGCAACACCGTCCCGGCCCTAGATCCTGGACAACCATGAACCCTAAGCACGAAGCCCCTAAAACCTCAACCAAAACCCCACAGAAGCCAATCGACACCCTAACCCTCAAAAAATGGCCCTCCCCTAAACCTCATGTCTCCTTCTCCCCTAAACCCTAAACCCTAAACCCTAAACCCTAAACCTAAAAACCATAAACCCTAAACCTTAAAGCCCTAAACCCTAAAAGCACTAAGCCCCCGGCCTCCAGGTTGGAGAACTTGCCGCCGTGGGCCTTCGACGTGGCTTCGACTCCTTTCCCCGCTCCACAACCGATCGTCGTCTTCATGATGATGATGGTCCTCAGTTCTTCGGGCTTAAGTTTTCTTTTTGTTTATGGGCCCTTTTCCAACTGCAGAACAGTATAGAATTCCTTATCAGGAGGAGCCTGTTATTGGGGCCTCAGTACGGGCTTAAGGTTTAGAGGTTAGGGTCTTGGCGTTAAGATTTAGGAGATGGTCCTCACTATGGACGGTTACAAAAACGGTAGTAGCAGAATCTACATTATCTACATTCATGTACAGTGTAGTATAGTAGAATGTAAGGTGCTGGTCCTCAGTTTCGGATTGCAGATTTACGGTGCAAGCTTCAGGGTTTGGGGTTGAGGGTTCAAAGGTCTAAGTCCTCAGGGCTCATTTTTCGCAGGTTCTTGTTCAGAAGCTGCTGCCGCTGCTGCTGCTGCTGCTGCTGCTGCTGCTGCTGCTGCTGCTGCTGCTGCTGCTGCTGCTGCTGCTGCTGCAGTTTTTGCTACTGGTGATGGCGTTGCGGCTACTACGACGACGATCGGTAGTAGTAGGAGTAGTAGTAGTAGTAGTAGTAGTAGTAGTAGTCATGACAATGCTCCTTGCACTTGTAGAGACATTAGCAAACATCCGAATGAGGAAAGTTGAGCATGAATGGGACAACGATTGAGCATTAATGGCAGTAGCGCAAAGTCGACAGTAAGAAGAAGCATTACCATTCGACTAATGCAGATGTTCCTTGACTCCTAGTGGACATGTCATTGTCAGAGTTTACAGGTTTACAGTTTGAAACCGCCAGTTGAATAAAACCCCTTAGGCCAAATCTAAAGACATCCAACGACTTCCACACCTTACAATGCTTTACATCCGAAGGGAGTATTGGACCATCCTGATCCTGCCCTTAACGTAAACTATAGAGATTCTCAGCACTAAGCATCCTAATTCGTTGTTTTCACTCTCTGGCTTCCACTATAGGTGCTTCGGCATTTAGGGTTGGGCTTAGGAAGCTAGGGCTTGTACGGTTCGCGGGGTTAGAGATGCAAGAGCACAAGCAGATGTAGCCTGCAAAGCTCAGCTTCGCCCAGGAGCCTACAGAAGATTCAAGGTTTTGAAGTCGCCCATCGCAAAAGTTCGCAAGAATTTGAGGGGCTTGAGAAAATCGCAGGGCCTACTTCTGACAAAGTTCCTGGCTGTGCTGCCCCCACCCCCGGCTTGAACTCTGAAAGGACCGCTTAATTTCGGGAGATACCAATCTATCTCCCGGTTTGTGCTTCAAGAACGAAGCCTTGCCCCGACAAACGCGTTTTGGATGGCTGAAAAAGCTCAAACTAACAAGATGTGGTAACTATCTACTCACCTTCACATATCTACATATAGATATTGGCATTTTTTACATGTGGCCAGCATTACAAGAAAACTGGTCATAACAGTTAACACGCATTCCAAATACTTTCTTCCTTGATTCCAAATCTTGCAAGGCATCGCCACTCGTTGGGGGAGGTTTTAAGAAGGAGCCAGGAAAGAGGCAGGCATCGGTCAAGAAAGAGAGGCGGCTGTGAGGAGGGAGGGGATCTGACGCCCCCTGCAAAAGGGGGTCGCAGAAGAGCGGGAGGTGGGGGGTGCGGGGTGACAAAAAAAGAGACTCACAAAAAAAGGGTGGCACAAGAGAGCCGCCGAGGGGGGCCAAGAAAGAAGTGAGGGTTTTAAAAAAGTGGGTCAAGAACAGATGGGCCCCTAAATGAAAAACCCTAAACCCTAAACCCTAAACCCTAAACCCTAAACCAAAAGCCCTAAACTCCCAAACCCTCTGTGCGATGGAGCTGCGGCTTCTCCTTCTGGGATTTGGCCTCCTCGCAGGCGTGCGGTTTAGTTTAAGGTTTATGGTCAGGGTTCAGGGCTTAGGATCTCGCAGGCGTACGGCTTTGGGTTTAGGGTTCAGGGTTTAGGGTCAGTGTAGGGTCTAGGGCAGTTCAGGGGACACAAGGGGACCTTTCTGAAACCACAAATCCAAAAGATGAATTGCTTCAGGTCTGTTCGATGGGAATTCGGGGTGTCAGCGCTCCTAAACCCTAAACCCTAAACCTTAAACCCAAACCCCTGAACCCTAAACCGGCTGTCATGGCCGTCTCGAGCGAGTGTGAGGCTTACGGCGTGGGGTTGCGGGTTTATAGCTCAGGGCGCCAACCTTTGGCACAAGTTGTTGCTCTGCCTTGCATTACAGGCTTATGCAACCTGTAGATTCGTAGACTGCACTGACAGTGAGGATTGAGTTGGTCAGACATGCACATTTCCATGCTTCTTAAATGCTCAAGGATTGTGGGAGGACATCCAAACTGCCGCCGCTGCCGCCACCGCTGCTGCTCCCTGCTCCTCGCCGTCTCCTTCGCCTCCGCCTCCTCCTCTTCCTCCTCCTCCCTGCTCCTCCTCTTCCTCCTTCCACGGGCTGCCACTTCGACTACTGCGACTACGACCACCGCCGCCACTGCTACTACTGCTACTACGACGACGACTACTACCACTACACCCTACACCCCAAAACGTCAACCCTCCGTCATCCTCCACGATCTCCTCGTAGGCGCTCCTGAGCAGTCGAACCAGGAAGAGAGTTTGGAGAGGATCTCCGAAAGTTCCGGGGCCCTTGTTGTTTTATATTTGTGATTGTATTTTGTATGAAACATTGGGGAACTCCCGCTTGAGGTAAGGATCACAGTACAACAGCTGTAGATTCGCATCACTGCGACAGCACGTAGTCCAACCACATAAAGTCGCGGAAGCACAAATAGACCTGTAGAGAATACAGGTAGGCGTAAACCGCCATCCTGGTCAATCATCCATCCACTAGCAGCCGCCAAGCAGCGAACTCACCTGATTTCCATCTTCCAATCGGAGAACGTTCCATCCCTTGGCCGCAAAGACGCCGCCGACGTCCTGCGAGGGTTCCGAGCCCCATGCCATGCTGTGGTGTCTACTGGGTGTTGTAGCGATTTATAATGTAAGGCTTCGCGATGCTTGCGGACTCGGATGAAGAGTTCTTTGTGTCGAGGGCTGCTCCACAGGGTTTCGTACAGAGTATGCAGAGTTGGGGACCTTCGGTTGAGGTGGGTTTAGGGTTTAGGAGTTTAGGGTTTAGGCGGTTTAGGGTTTAGGAGTTTATGGTTCAGGGTTTAGGGACACCGGGATCTGAGGTAGTCCCGGGCTTGTTGCAACCTGCAGCTTTACGTCTGCACGAAATTTGTGGAGCCCCTCGCGTCCCGCAAACCGCTGACTGAGAAACCCTCTTGCGCACAGACCGTTCGGATCTATTGTGAGGCTCATTGAACCCTAAACCTCTAAACCCTAAACCCAAAACCCTAAACCCTTACTAAACCCCCAAACCCTAAACCCCAAAACCCTAAACCCTGAACAGAAGGCTATTCATCAGTCATCAAAGCCCCTGAAGCCCCTGATGCCTTCAACCCTGGCCCTTGAGAAGCCTCTAAGACCTAGAACCGTCGTAAACCCAAACAAACAACACTAAACCGTGAGATTCAAAGACTCTAAAGGCCCTAGACCCACTAAGTCCTAAACAGGAAAACTTAACCAGCTGACAAGCCCTAAACCCCAAAAGGCCGTAAGCAACAAGAGTAGTACTAAACTCTAAACCGCTAAGAGCCGCCCTTTCCTCGCTAAAGGCGAGGTCGGTGCCGCCGTCGATCGTGACCTCCACCGAAGCGCTTTGGGGCTTTTAGGGTTTAAGGGTTAGGGTTTAGGGACTTGGGCCTCTGGCTTTGGTTTTGGGGACTTTGGGATCTTTAGCGATTAGGGTGTTGAGGGTTCAGGGCCTTAAAACTTAGGGATGGATTTAGGGTTTGAGTTTTGGTGGTTCTTCGGTATGTCCTATGAAGGTTTCATAATGCTGATTCTACAACGGTTGTTCGGGTTTTGCGGCTCAGGGCTCTAATCAGGTTTGCAACAGGATTTGGAAAAAAAATCATAACAGCTTCATACCGGAGTGAAGGCAGTTGAGCTGGGGCTCCATCGCCTGATGGGGGAACTCTTGAGGGCTCTGTTCTGAATGGCGCAGGGCTGCATTGTTTGGACATTTAGGGCTTGGGGATTTGGGGTTCAGGGTTGAGGGTTTAGGGCTTAAGGCTTTAAGGCTTGGTTCTTCAGACCTCAGGACATGGCGCCCTGTCAGGACTTGTGGGGTTTAAAGTCTGAAAGGATTTCGGGGTCCGAACGCAGAACTCCATCTCCCCCTGCACTCAGATGCCGGAAGGCCCCCCAACATGCTAACAGCGGTGTTACAACGACCTGAAATCACACCCTAAATCCTAAACCCTAAACCCTAAACCCTAAACCTAAACCCTAAACCCTAAACCCTAAATCTAAACCCCAAAAATTTTTGAAATGGCCCTAGAGCTCACACCCAGAGATCCCGAATCTCTGAGACGCTAAGCTTTGACCAACCCGAGACCCGCTGAACCTACCAGACAGCGCCCTCCATCCATGAAGCCTTAAAAGTCCTAAACCCTAAGACCCTAAACCCTAAACCCTCAGCCCTAAAATCCTGAACCCTAAACCCTAAACCCTAAAACCCTAAAACCCTGAACCCCAAACCCTTAACCCTAAAACCCTAAACCCTGGACCACCCTGGAATCCTTTCAAGGATCCCTTTTAGTACCCCTATACACCCGCAATGATCCCAAATCTTTCAAGCCTCCCCGAAACCCGAAGCCCTAGATCAACGCAGGCCCTACACACCAAGTCCTAAACCCATGATGGTATATTACAGTATTATTCTGGTCCCTTACTATCGTATATTCTGGTGGTGTTACAGTTTGTTATGGTACTTTGGTCGTATGTTTTTGCTATAGGATCCTCATCGCCTCATAGAAACACTCATAAAGCCCTCATCGATCTCCCCTGGTTTAGGGTTTAGGGTTGAAGGTTTAGGGTTTAGGGTTTAGGGTTTGGGGTTTAGCCCTTTATAGAAGCCCTCATAGAGTTCCTTGTTGTCGTCGTAGAAGACGATGAGCTTGTGCAGACGGAGGTGCCCCGCCAGGGAGGAAGCCTGCTTAAGGGATCCCCTGCACCCTAAATCCCTAAATCCTAAACCCTAAACCCTAAACACCCTAAATCCTAAACCCTCAGGTGCTTCAAAGGGCTCCTGAGAGGGTTATTATGGGAGTTTCCGAAAACTAGGGGTGCCGTATTTTGGGATCCTTACAGTAAGGATCGTACTATGTAGGGTCCCCTATTTTTCGGAAACCCCCATATGAGGGTTGGGGGATCTATGGGGGTCAGAAGCTTGTGAAGAAGAGTGAGTGGTAAGCCCTGGGCCGTACGTATGGGGTTCGTTGAGAATGCCTGATCATGGGTTGTTCTGTTCATGGGTTCCACAATGGTCCCCATGAAAGTTCCCAACGGGGCTGAGGAACAGCGGCCAGCAATCCGCCTCCGCATACGGAGATCGCTTACATCGTATTGAACCTACACAGAAGCCACAAAACTTGCATCTAAACTCATAACACCAGGCACCTGCCCGACTCTGGCAATCGAACCCAAGACTCAAAACTACCCATACTGCAAGCTCTGCACCCCCCTCGAAACCCTGAGCCCTGCGTTCGGCACCTCCTGCGCTACACCCTCCATCAGGCAGCCATCACCAGCCTCAGCAGCACGAAGTCTCCAAAGTCTCCCCAAAAAAGGTTCTCCCGCAGAGTTCAAGGCTTGGTTGAGAGTTCGGGGTCTGCATTCAAGGTTGAACCAAACCCGCAACCAACCCCAAACCCGCAACCTCCTCTTGCGCTTCGAGGTGGCGAGCACATAGGTGTAGTGATCGAAGAGCGGGAAGCCTTCGCGATTGAAGCGGGCAGCCAGGTGGGCCTTGGCAATGTCGATTTGAGGTTTCAGGATGTGGCGGTTTAGGAGGGTTTAGGATTTATGATGGAGGGGTTACCTGTGAGCGAAAAAGCCCACCTCGTCGCATTCCATGCTATGGCTTCTATCCATACATACATACATACATACATACATACATACATACATACATACATACATATATATATACTTCCTTCAGAAGGAGGGTTTTTTTGGGCCACAGGTAGGCCTCATGATTAGGGTGTAGAGGTTTAGGGTTTTGGGGCTTACTGCAGGGACTGCTGAACCCGAAAGGGCTGCCTGTGGAGTCTTCCGGTGCATGGCTTCTGGGCCAAGGGCTCCAAGTGAAAGCAGAGGCATAGCAGCGGGGCCGCAATAACTACAACGCTGGTGTATTATGCTAAAATCATAAGAGGAAGCAATGTCACATTGTCAAGAGCTCAGAGAGGTCAACAATAAAAGGTTTGGGCCTACACCTGGTTTAAGGTTTCGGGCTCCGGGGTTAAACCCTAAACCGCACAACCCTAAACCCTAAAACCCTAAACCCTAAAACCCTCAACCCCAAACCCTGAACCTTACTTACAACACACACCATCCCAGGCCCAAGGCCCAGAACCCAACATCAGAAAACCCAAGAATCGAAAGAAAACTACAGGTGGGGAGCTTAGGGTATATAGGGCTTCTATAAGGCTTCCATAAGGTATGTGGACGGCTCATATAACGGTAACTGAAAATGTCCCCGACCAAGAATCAAAAGAAACCAAACCCCAACCCGCCTGGGGCCTCAGGTTTTGTGGGTTTGGGGGTTTAAGGTTTAGGGTTTAGGGTTGAGGGTTTATGGTTTAGGGCTTAGGGTTTAGGGTTTAAACTTTAGGGTTTGGGGTTTAGGGTTTAGGGCTTGGGGGTGAGGGTTTAGGCTTTAGGCTTCTGCCGAAAAGATGCCAACCCTCAGAAGAGCACGTCATGACAAGTAACACATGGATAGTTGTCAAAATTATGGTCCCTTTTGGGGTACCCTAGATATTAGGTGCCGTATTATAATAAGGACTCAAAAAGGGACCATAATTTTGACAACCACCCACATGCCTACCAAAACGATCAAAGCACAAAATGCTACCAACGCAAGATAGCACCACTAGGACAACACCTAACAAATGATACCTCGACTAAGGATATGCCATGAGGACAACATGAAAGATACGACGACTAACAAAAAACAGTTAAAAATCAAAGATGCCACAACTAAGAAGAAACACTGAAAAAGAAATATGCACCACAAGCCAAGAAAATCAGACAAACAGACAGATAACAGTTGCCTCGGAGATGGCCATCCCGACGGCATTGGCAAAGCCCTGACCCAGGGGTCCCGTGGTGACCTGCACGACTTCGGGTGCTTTTCCGGCTTGGGGTTTCGGGTATATTTGGTTTAGGATTCGTGCTTGTTCAAGGCTCTATTTCGGGTTTTGGTGCATTTGTGTTGGGGTGCTCGGTTGCACAAGGGTTTGCATGGGCTTTGCAAGGGTGTCTATGGGCTATTTGTAGCATGAGCAGGTTGTTAAGAAGGGTCCCACAAGGGTTTATGGTGTTCACAACGGCTCTGAATAAATAGGCTTTAGAAGGGTTTAGGGTTTAGGGTCTTGGGGCTTCAGGTGTGTCGGGTTTACAGTTCGTACGAGTTTAACAAAGATGTATCGGAGAGCGGGCTCTAGGTCTTAAGAGGTTTAGGGCTTGGGCTTCGGTTTTGGGACATCTGCAAAGCCTCGCTTATGCGATCGGCCGACACCTGCAGCCTTCGAGATTTCAAATCTGATAATTTGAGTTTCGGGGTTTACAGCTTCGGGACATGTAGGAACCTGATTAAGAAACCCTGGCCCTATAACCCCAACATATTAGGGTTCATATGTAGAACCCTGATCAAGGCCCAGGGTTTCTTAATCAGGCTCCTATACTATGGGATTTGGGGCTTCAGGGTTCACCGGGATGCTAGCCTTCTCTCCTCCAAACAAACGGCATACAGTAGCTTCCGTCGTTTTCTTGCGTGAAGAGTTGCCTCAAGACATGCTGAAAACTCCTGGAACTCTGGGATAGGGGCTTGAGTCTTTCGCTCCCCAGCGCTCCAACTCACTCCCTGACTCTCGGCCCCCCTCTCTCTCATCGATCTGCGTCAGGGCATATTATGGATTAGCTGCAGACTTTTAATTGCGGCCTTGCAATACTGTTCTGAGCGCGGCTAACTACACGTCCATGCGCAGGTAACAGGCTTTTTTATATACATATATGTATCGAAAAAAGCTCCCCCAGGCAGTTAAACTCCATGGAAAGCCTTCCTCCAAGCACTGTCCATGCTGCGTTTAGTTTTGCTGTTCTTGATATTATGACGGTCGTCGGTTCGTACTCTTGCTGATCTCGTTTCGTTGGGCCTGCCCGCCTCAACTCCACTGGTCATTCGAAATTCCGGGTGCCCGGGGGTGCTGCTGCCCGCTTGGCGAAATTGCTTCAGCTGCTCCATGCAGACCTCGTAGGGGCCGCCTGCTCCCGTTCCTGCGACTTTTGTGAAGACCAGACAGGTTTCTACAAGGGGTTTCAGAGGGCTTGAGGAGGGTGTTATGAGGGTTTGATACACAAGGCTTTACAGTTTTCAAGGCTCTTGCGAGGATTTGGGGCTTCCATGCAGTGTCTTTTGGGCTTAGGATCGGGGCACGAGTCTACAGTAGCATAGTCTAGTATATCAAAGCATTACCAGTATGCCATCTTATCATAATGATTATGGGATGCCATTATATATATATATATATATATTTATTTATTTATTTATTTATTTTTAATTATTTATATATTTATATTTATATTTATATTTATAATTATTTATTCATTTATTTGTTGTATATATATATATACCGTGTTGCTATAGCAGCTAACTGAAAGCTGAAACCTCAAATCTGGATGTCAACGAATCCAAACCTTCAACGCTATTCCGTCTGACTGCCTGGAAACAAAAACCACGCAAGTCTACTATAGGGCCTAAATATTTAATATAAGGTTTGGGATATATATATATATATATATATATATATTATACTATAGCATGTGAACTTTACCATATGAGACCCTGATTCCAGCAAAACAGCCGAGAAACCGACCAGGTGAAGCATGCTGTAAAGCAAAGCGGACGCATGCCCCACGGACAGGACGAAGCGATCGCGATTGAGCCATCTCTTGTTGGGCGAGAACTTCATAATGCTCCTTAGGGTCTAGGGAGAAATGTTTGATTTGGGAGTTACAGAAACAAAGGACCTTGATAAAGATGGACGGATCCTTGTTGTAAGAATGACTCTCCATAAAGTTTCCTTTAATGTCGAGCCTTGTTTTCAATTTGAAATCAATTACTCCTGAACTCCCTCGTAAACCCCATAGGAATGCGCTTGACAGCAAGGACATGTCAGCAGATGCCATGCAAGCCTAGTCCTGAACAAGCCAGAATGATGCCTTTGTGCGTGCGAAAGCCACACTACTTTTCTTCTGAAGCTTCCACCGCGCCCCCATGTTGAAAAAGGTTAGAGCTAAGGCTTCGGATAAAACCGTAACCTAAAACTTTGAACCCTTCACGACGATATCTCAACAGACATTTCCATCTCAGTCGCCCCCAAAGAGCGTTGGCCAGCGGCGCACAGCCAAATGGGGTGCCCAGATGGCCAGAGCTTGCACGGTCCACCATATCTCCACAAAGAAGGCGGATGCTGTAGACCTACGGTGTAGGGTTTAGAGTTTAGGGTTTAGGGCATTTTACACAAGCGGTTTGGGCTTTGGCCAATCTTTCGTCGGTTTATATAGGAGGTGGGTGCGGGCTCTGGTTTGAAAGGTTGGGGACTGGGGACATCGGGCTAAAAACTGTTGTAAATGCCGACTCAACACGGCGGTCTTGGTAGATACGTCTTAGACGAAAGGACCATCCTTAAAGCCAAGGTTTAGAGGATCACAAGTTCAATGACACATGAAAAGGCTGCTTTTCTCTGCGAGTGCACAGCCAAGGCATCCAAAGCAAGCTCATCTTTATCTTTGCAGCGTCGTGGTTGATCTTTGTGTGCATCCGGCATGGTGAACGACGAAGCTATGCACTCTAAACTAAAATTCAATCTCGCATTCGCTGGAACAACTGCTGAGCCGCTGTGATGCTTCAAGAAACACAGGCTGGAACCACGGCCATACTCGCGTAGACATGCCAAACTGTTGGACAGAGTGCAACCATAGATCTGAGCCAAAATCTGCGCGAACAACTGAGACGCCTACAAGGCACTGGACAGCACTTTCAAGTTGAAGCTTACGGGTTCGGGGACCGATTCAACAGCTCGAACCGCTGGCACTCCTCTGGAACCAAACCATAGTTGCATGTGCATTGCCAGAAAACTATCACAGAGAGGGTGCAGTTGCGTATGTCGAAGATGACCAGCTTCTGCAAGTCAGTCGGCTTGAAAAAATCGGGAGACTCCATCCAGGTTGCATTGGATCGAGTGCTGTTGTTGTTGTTGCTTTGGAGGATCCTGCAAACCCAGAGTAGAAAAGAAGAGGCATTGAACGAACGAAACTAACATTCGCCGTTGAGACGTTCGAGTCTTGAATCTCCTGATCAAACAATGGCCAAACCATCACACCTGGCCAACTGCTCCTGGTGCAAGGTGCTTGCTAAATCCATGTTATTGTGCTCTTGTGAAAATGTTTTGAATGCTCAAAGACGCCTGCGGTCGCGGTCGAATGTGAAAAACATGAGTGCATGACATACGATAAAGCAAAATCATGATAGATACATGGGGAATCCTAAGAGGCAGAATCTTCAACACCCCTCCTACGAAGCTTCATAAAGCCTCGCGGAATGGAATTTTCGTCGTTCTACAACTGCCTCACCCCTTCGAAACAACGGCGTATTTAGTTTAGGATGCATTCGAAATCATACGGCGTCTTTTTAGATGAGCTCTGCCGGACTGGGTCGTTGGCTCACTACAACTAAGTTTACAAGCTACGGAGCACTGTGCAACTACGGCTCGAACTACGCGGAGTTCCATCTCCGGGCGTAGGCCACCCGTGACGAAACTCAAAGCACACGGTCCAAGTAGTCAAGATCTCACTCGCTTCACGAATATCGCAATCAAGATTCAAGCATGCACAAGAATTGTGATGCCTAAGTGCATCGAGTGGCAAAAGCCTGCTCCTTCAGACTTGTGGCCGCTCCACGGCCACACAGGCTGGCTGGCAAGTGATCTCGAAGATTGACAGCAGAATGCTGTTTGACCAGATGTTCAAGGATCTTGCGTTTCATCAAGCTATGCACAGCGTCAAGGCTTGCCACAGCCGCCTATGTACAAGATCCAACCGATCAATCCATCACCGGAGTGACGGACTGAAGTTTTTTTGGCGTATGCGGGCCTCAGTGCCGAAGAAGCGGTGGGTTCCCCAAAGCAAAGCCGTCGTTCTAGTCCCGTCGGACAAC